AATATCTAAAAGATAAGAGAGAGGCAAGGATGGACATTGAATCACTGGAAAATGAGGCCAGAGAAGTATTAATGAGGAACAAGTAAATAGCAGAGAAACTGAATAGGTACTATGCATCAATCTGCATGGTAGAAGGCACCAGTAGCGTACCAGAATTTCAAGAGAGTCATGGGGCAGAGGTGAGTGTAGTGGCCACCACTAAGGAGAAAGTGCCAGGGAAGCTGAAAGGGGAGGAGGATAAATCACCTGGACTAAAAGAACTATACCCCAGAGTTCTGAAGGAGATAGCTGAGGAGATTGTGAAGGCAATGGTGTTGGTCTTTCAGGAATCACTGGAGCCTAGGATGGTCCCAGAGACCTGGAAAATGGCTGAAGTAATATTTCTGTTGAAGAAGGGAGGAAGACAGAAGACAGGAAATTATAGGTTGGTTAGCCTGACCTTGATCATTTCTAAGATTTTAGTGTCCATTACAGGGAATTCTGCTATAACATGATATTAGCTGGGGAGGCAATGGCCTAGTGGTATTATCGCTGGATTATTAATCCAGTCACCCAGATAACATTTCCGTGACCCTGGGTTCAAATCCCACCACAGCAGATGGTGGAATTTGAATTCAATAAATATCTGGAATTAAGAATCTAATGATGACAGTGAATTAATTGCTGATTGACGGGGAAAAACCTGTCTGGTTCACTAATGTTCTTTAGGGAAGGAAGCTGCCATCTTTACCTGGTCTGGCCTACATGTGGCTCCAGACCCACAGCAATGTGGTTGACTCTTAACTGCCCTTTGGGCAATTAGGGATGGGCAATAAATGCTGCCTAGCCTGTGACATCATCATCCTGTGAATGAATAAAGGAAAAAATAAGTCTTTTAGTAAAATTCCCCCCTCCATTTAAATGCTGATCTGTCCTGACATTCTAACAACATAGACTTCTGGATAGACTTTCAGATAAATGAAGCAGAGGAATCTGACTTTTCTTTCCTGTACTGCCCATTGGCATTGAAATTAATTGTAGAATTAAAATGCATTGTAAACCTGAGTAACATTGTATTCAAAATAGTGCTGGAAAACAGCAGGTTGTAACACAGACAACTTTTTGTATAAATGATTTATCATAAGCAAGTTCAAAAATTCTTGCGTATTAAATATGTAACAAAATCTATGCAAAATTTGTACGCAAAGAGGTGCATGTTTTAACAGCACTCGTATTATTTTAAATTATACTTCATTTTTACTTGTACCATCAATTTTAGCATTAGAGTCCATTCTTCTAGTTAAATGAGCTACATTTTTGAATAATACTGAATCATGTTACAGCCAACACAAATTCATGTTTTAGAAATAGCATTCCCCTATTCATCTATCGTGTTATAGCCAATTCGCATTGCCAGAACATGCATTATAGGCGAACCCTCTGTATTAAGGATTAGATTGCGAAGTACTTGGAAGTCCATGGTAAAATAGGGTTGAATCAGCATGGCTTCATCAAAGGGAGGTCATGCCTGACAAACAGCATCATTTCAGGGTCTCCAATTTAAACAGCGCACTTAGAAAATGTGGAAGATAAATTGTTCTGAGTGCTAATTTAGTGACTCAATTAAATTATTCATGAAAAATTGCTGTGTGCGCTACTTCAACAGATTTGTTTACCTGTCAAGATGAGCCAATAAGTTTGTTAAAAAATGCCCTTATAACAAAGTGTGCTCGAGCCATTTTTTGTTGTGTGGTGTAAAAGCCTTGCTACATTTTCACTAAGCACTTAAACGTAGGTGTTATTTTGCAAATATTTTGGCAAATTCATAAATACTAATAACCTTGATGTTTAGGGGATCATGCATCACAGATGTAAATTAATGGATGTTATACATGAATATCCCAGAATACCGGTTGAATTTAAATTCATGTAATATCCACTCATTGTTGAACTGTAGTGGCAAAGAATAATTAATAGGATATGTTCGTTAAGACAAGAACTGGACATGATAGTACTAGTTTGAACCGCATGGAGTACTTCAGTTTTAACTTTGAGATTTAAAACAAACATTTGCTCCTTATCTTCACTATTCATTGAAATTGTTGTACAAAAGATGAGTCCAAAAAGTAAATCACAGTGTCTGGATGAATATGATGGCATAAGTGGTAATCTTTAGGGAAATGAAACCTGGTCTACTTGGGAGTCCAGATCCACAGTAATAAGGTTAACTCTTAACTGTCCTCTGTAATGGTCTAGCAAGACATTCAGTCATATCAAACAACAAAAATGCCTCAGAGAAAGAACAAAACTGAACAGACCATTTGCATTGATCAACGCACCGGAAATGACAACAGCAAACTCAGCCATGTCATGCCTCCTCATCAACATCTGGGGGCTAGTGTCAAAATTGGGAGATATCTCAGAGACAAGTCAAACACCAGCCTGACATAGAAACATAGAAGATATGACCAGGACTAGACCATCATGGCTGATCATTGAGCTCAATCCCCTAATCCTATTATCCTCCGACATCCCCTGATCCTTTTAGCCACAAGTGCTACATATACCTCCTTCTTGAAAAGAAAATGTTTTGGCTTCAACCACTTTCTGTGGTAGTGAATTCCACAGGCTTACCACTCTCTGGGTGAAGAAATTTCTCCTCAGTCCTAAAAGGTTTACCTGTTATCATGAAGGTATTAAACTATTATCCCTGGTTCTGGACTCCCTCATCATTGGGAAAATCTTTCCTGCATCTAACCTGCATCTAGTCATGTTAGAATTTTATAGATTTCTATGAGATCCCACACTTCAGTGAATACAATCCTAACTGACTCACTCTCTCCTCATATGTCAGTCCTGCCATTGTAGGAATCGATTTGGTAAACTTTCACTGCATGCCCTCTGTAGCAAGAACATCTTTCCTTAATAGGGAATTCAAACTGTGGGCAGATTCCAGGTATGGCCTCGTCAATGCCCTGTATAATTGCAGCAAGACATCCTTGTTCCTGTACTCAAATCCTCTCATTATGAAGGCTAATATACAGTTTTCCTTCTTACTTGCTTATAGCACTTATGCACTCACTTTCAGAAACTGGCACACAAGGACTCCCAGGTCTCATTGTCATTCCCCTCTCCCAATTTACAGTTAGATAACAATCTGCCTTCCTACTTTTGCTACCAAGTTGAATAACCTCACATTTATCCACATTACACTGCATCTGCCATGCACTTGCCCATCACTCAGCCAGTCAAAATCACATTGCATCCTTCGCACAGCTCACCCTTCACCCAGTTTTGCGTCATTTGCAAATTTTGAAATATTACATTTAGTTCGATTATCTAAATCATGAATATATAGTGTGAATAGCTGGGTCCTGGTACTAATTCCTGCAGTATCGCAAGAGTCACTGCCTGCAATTCAGAACAAGGCCCATTTATTCCTATTATTTGTTTTATGTTTGCTAGCCGATTTTCTATCCAACTGAACACATTACCCCCAATCCCATGCGCTTAAGTCATACTCATGGAATTGGACCTTATAGAGAATACACATGACATCACCACCACTATCCCTGGATTTGTCCTGTCCAACCAACACAACAGCTTCCAGCAGATGTGGTGGCATGGTTGTTTATAGGAGGGAGGTAGTTGCCCTGGGAGTCCTAGGTGTTGATCTAACCCTAACCCTAACCTTATCGGAGACCCTGTGAAGCATGGTTACATCAAGTCAATCAAGGTCGAGGAAACCTCAGTTGATTACATACCACACAACACCCTCCATTCACTCCCTTCATCATTGATGCTCAGTAGTCATAGGGTGAACTCTCTAAAGATACAGTGCAAAAATTCACCAAAGATCCTTTGATCTTTGATCTTTGACCTTCCAACCTCCTGAAGACTAACATCCAGAAAGACAAGGGCAGCAGACACAAGAGAACATCATCCACTGCAACTTCCCCTCCAAACAGCTCGCCATCCTGACTTGGAAATATACCGATATTCCTTCAGTGTTGATGGATGAAAATTCTGAAACTCTCTCCCAAATAGCATTGTTGGCACATCCACACCAAATGGAATGCCGTGGTTCAAAAAGGCACATCGTCTCCATCTCATCAAGGACAATTAGCAAGGAGCAATAAGTACTGATCCAGCCAAAGATGCCCACGTTCTTGAATGAATTTTAAAAAAGTATCTGTGCACTACTAATTCTGAAATCCAGATGGCAAGCCATTCAGTTCAAGGGCAACTAGGGATAGTCAACAAATGCTGGCAGTGACACCCACAACCTTTGAAAGAATTTTTTTAAAAAAATCATAGGCTGACTTTTCCAAACAGTGGCAACCATAGTCAGATTAACACTCACTTCTAACATTTTTATGTTAGAAAAAAAGCTCCACATTTTTGGCAAAAAATTCCGATCACAACTCCTGCAGAAATGCAGGCTATATCTTAAATACCTGGACTTCAGGGATAGGTTATGAAGAGAGATTACAGAAATTAGGCCTTTTTTCTAGAATTTAGAAGATTGGGGCGTGATCTGATGAAAGTTTTCAAGATATTAACAGGAAAAGACAGGGTAGATGAAGATAAACTATTTCCACTGGATGGAGATTCCAGAACAAGGGGGCAAAGTCTGGCAAGACCATTTGGAAGAGATATAAGGAAATGCTTCTTTACACAAAGGGTGATAGATGCTTGGAACTCTCCTCCAAAAATGGCAGCAGATGCAGAATCAGTTGTTAGTTTTAAATCTGAGATAGATAATTTTTTGTTTAGCAAATGTATTAAGGGGAATGGCCCAAAGGCAGATACATGGAGCTAGGCCACAAAACAGACATGATCTAATGGAATGGTGAAGGAGGCTTGAGGGGATGAATGGTTTACTCCTGCTCCTATATTAAATCCAATTGTATCCTCATAATGAATACTGTAAAAAATCAGTTTGAGGTATATGTTCAAAAACAGGTTGTATGATTTCTAAAACAAACCCACACAAATATGAAAGACATTTCACATATTGCTAGTGTTTACAGGTAACAATTTTTTATTAAGTGCCTTACTTGTTACTATGTTTTTTAAAACAGTCTGGATACAATTAATTTCATGTTCATATTTAGTTCACAGAATGGTAAAATGATGAGTGGTATTTCCAAATACATATGAGTTTGTCTTTATGGTGTCAAAAAAAATCTGTGAAACAGCTCACTTTAAAAAATAACATCTCTGCTATGTTCAGGAACATCATCATGACACTTCTAATATCAGAACATTTTCCTTTTTCTGGATTCTGTTGTTTATAAATGTTACATTCAGGGTTTTAATAGTTTTCCATACAACTTCCCATAATGCACATGCTTGCTATAAACATATAGATGGGAAATAATATACAAACTATCTGGAAGTTCACTACCCTGCACATTTTAAATAAACCTATTAAACTGGTCACCTGTGACATGTCATTTTTTATTACTGAACAAAAATTGATTGAAGAATTCAATTTGTTGACTTTTTAAAAAATTCACAAGATATTATTTAGTTTCATCAGGGCTTTTTTTTTAAACTATCTAGGTGTCAGTGGACTTGAATAATCTCTTTATGTGGTGTCACATGTTTTTGTTTATGTTTTTATGAACATGTTGTTTGCATGTTTTCTTCATTGGTCCTGTAACCAGACAATTGTAATTAGCAGCTGAGCAATAGGCCAAGCAGCCAAAGAACATCAATATCTGTGCTTTAATTTTATGATGGCTTAAGAGGTCACCTTTTTCATATTTACACAAGAAACTGAGTATAATCACTGCAACGATAAAAATACAAAGGTATTAAACACATTTATTCTATAACCTTATACCAGTGTGATAATCCATTAATGAAAATAAAAGTAATCAATATATATATATTTCTAAACAGGTGGTGATACAGCAGAATAATTAAAGTTCAGTGCAAAGTACTGCAGCAAAAGCAAGCTTTAGACAAATACTGATTTCACTAAAGCTGTTTTCCAGTCTAACTGCATACAATTTATAGACTTATTTCAACAAGTCAAACACTTTGCAAATTACATTAAACCTTGTTCATTTTGTTCTATGTTTGGCACAAGAGATTTCATATCACAGGGTGCAATTGTACTCTCTCGATTGAAATAAAGAGAGTTATCGAAATTGATATCCGTTTCTGTCATCTTTCTCCTGTGCTTTTGAATGAAATAGCCCGCAAGAACCACGCCAATGGCAAGGGCAATAACCAGCACCACCACAATCCCCGTCATGTTGTGCGATAAGGTCTCTTTTGACTGTATGACTAAGGAAGGAAAAGCAAAAAACACAATGAATTCCCAAAGTATTGTCATACAGATAGCACTTCATAGAAATTGGCCATTGCCCCGGTCCTGTCTGTGCAGACATATATTGAAATAGAAAGTGCTGAAAGTACTGTGCAGTTCAGCCAGCATCTGCAGAAAGAAAAACAAAGTTTACATTTCATGTTGGTGACCATTTGTCAGAATTAACTTTATTAACATTAAGTCAAAATACTAACTTTGTTTCACTCTCGACAGCTCATCCTTGGCCTGTTCAGTATTTCCTACTTTTATTTTAGAGATCCATAATATGCACTATTTTGCTTTTGTATGTCTGTACAGCTGCTAGCTACCTCGTCTGAGATCATTTTCCTACCCTTTAATGAGACTAAAGAATAATAGGAGTTGAGCACCATAAGGCATTCAAGACTGCTCTGCCATTCAATAAGATCAAGGCTGAACTATAACATCAACTCCACTTTCCTGTCTCTATCTCACTACACTTTATTTCTGTTAGAAACAAAAAGTATTTAATCTCAGATTTTAATGTATTGAACAACTGAATACCCATAGTTGTCTGAACTAGAAAATTCCAAAGATTCACAATCATCTTAAAGAAGAACTTTCTCATCTCAAAGTCTTACCCTGGGCTTATAATTGTTCTACACTCAACAATCTAAAAAAAAATCTACTTCTCAGCATCTTCCCTGAAATGCTTTCTAAGAATCTCATACATCACAATTTGATCACCTCTCATTCTTTTAAATTCCAATGAACGTAGACCTAATCTACTCAATCAATGCTATTGGATCATTCTCAAGAATCAGTCTAAGGAACCTACATCTCACCCACTCAAAGGCAAGTGTATCCTTCCTTATGTAAGGATACTAAACCAGAAGCAATAGTCCAGATGCCATTTTGCCAATCCCTAAGCAATTTCAGCCACAGCCAGGGGAGAAATCTTGGTCCCCTGTGCTTCTCCTGTAATCGAGCCCATTATTTCTCCAAACCCTTTCAGCATTGCAGTTTCTGTTGAGGCCTTCAGGATGTCATAGAATCATCAGCATAAAATCCCTACAGTGTGGAAACAGGCCCTTTGGCCCACCAAGTCCACAGAGCATTCCACCCAGACCCATCCCCCTATAACCCACCTAATCTGCACATCCCTGAACACTACGAGCAATTTAGCATGGCCAATCCATGGGCTATGGGAGGAAACTGGAGAACCTGGAGGAAACCCACGCAGACACAGGGACAATGTGCAAACTCCGCACAGACAGTCATCCGAAAGTGGAATCGAACCCAGGTCCCTGGTGCTGTGAGGCAGCAGTGCTAACCACTGAGCCACCGTGCCACCAAGATGTGCTTCAGGCCCTTTAAAATATAAGAGTGCAGCACAGAAGGAGATCATTCGGTCCATTGAGTCTGTGGCAGTTCTTTCAACAAGAAGTCCTATCACCTTCCTCTCACCCTCCAGTTGTTCATCCCCTTTCTTCTCCCCATAATTTATCCAATGACCTTTTAAATTCTAATGTAAATCTGTGACTATCTGATATGCTCACTAACATAACCATCTGCAGCAAATACAGGAGAGAACCAGCCTGTGATTGGAGGAGCATGACAGTGACAGAGTCTCAGATTTGGGAGGCAGTTCCATACACATCATTTACAGGGCCAACCATCTGATTGATAGGAGGGGATGCTGCCGGGGTCAAGGGTCTCCTGGAGACATGGGCCTGAAGGATTAGCGTGGTCTGCACCCACCTCTCTTGGGCCCCGATTGTAGCAACTCTTATACACCCTGGAATAATATTAAATATACCGTCTGTATCCTGTATTTGCTAAACGTCCTGTGATATATGAACAAAGATATCCAAATCCTTTTGAATACTGACATTTCATCATTTAAAAGTATTTTACTTTACCATTCTTCCCAGAAATGTGAGTAATTTCATATTTCCAATATTATACTCCAACTGGACCATCTTAATTAATCACTTCACTGATCTCCATTCTGCAGCCTCTTTTTATGTCCTCATGACAACTTAAATTTAAACTTAGTTTTGTATTGCCAGTAAACTTAAATACATTACACTTGGTCTCCTTATTTGCAGCAATGTTACTGGATGAATGATCTAGAGGCTTTCAAATGCTACAACGTAGCTGGGGTAATTTAACTCTATTGAAGAATAGATGTTTGGCACATAAATTCATCGAAGATAGCTGTGAAGTAATCCATTTTGACCAGAACTAGTTGGAAATGAACATTATTTTAGTGAAAAGCTGGGCACAGTTGGAGATCAAAGCGATTTAAAAGTCAAGATACACAAAGTACAAAAATTACGCAGTCAGTTACATAGGAAAAAACTCAAAGAAGGAGTGAACCTTTAGAACACGAGGCCTAAAATAAATGGCGTGAAAATATTGCAACAGCTGTACAAACTGTTTGTTGGACCACATCTGGAGTCCTATGTACAATGTACTGTTCTAGGCACCACACCGGAGGACATTTAGCAAGTCTTTTGGAGGGTTTGCAGCACAAATTCACTAGAACATTGACAGGACTTTAAGCATTGAATTACATAAATGAAGTTTGCATTCACTGCAGTCTAAAAGGTTAACAGATGATGAGATTCAGGTTTTTAGAATTTTGAAAAGAATTGACAGGGTAGATCGAGAGAAGTCTTTTCCATTAATGAGGTCATTGAGAACAAGGCAACATAGCCTTAAGATCAGAGCCAGGCATTATGTAACAAAGCTACTTCATTGTGCAAAGAGGCCCTTTGGTCCATCGAGACTGCATAGTCAAAAACTTGTCTACATCTACAACAGTACCTCTTTCTAGCATTTGGCCCCCAGCCTTAAATGTTATGACATTTCAAGTGCTCATCAAAGTACTTTTTAAAGATTTTGATGTTTCCCATCACAACTACCCTTCCAGGCAATTCATTCTAGATTCCCACCAGATTCTGGATGAAAAACCTTTTCCCTCAAATCTTCCTGTCTTTTAGCTTAAAGTTATGCTCCCTTGTTTTGACACTTCAATTAAAGGGAACAGCTGCTTTCTATCCACATTGCCCAGGCCTCTCATAATCTGATACACCTCAATCAAGTCCCCTCTCAGCCTTCTCTGCTCTAAATACATCAACTTGAGCCTATTCAGTCTCTCTTCATAGTGAAAATGCTCCATCCCAGGCAACATCCTGGTGAATTTCCTCTGTACCCCTCCAGTGCAATCACATCCTTCCAATAGTGCGGTGACTAGAACTGCACACAGTATGCTCCACTCTAACCTCCCTGTTCATAAAATCTGTGCCATGACTTATAAAGGCAAGTGTCCCACATGCTGTCTTAACTATCCTATTAACATGTCCTGCTGTCTTCAGGGATTTATGGACAAACACACCAAGATCACGTTTTTCCTCTGAGCTTCCTGTTGTCCTACTATTCATTTCAAAGAAAGAACAAAGAACAAAGAAAATTACAGCACACGAACAGGCCCTACGGCCCTCCAAGCCTGCGCCGTTCCAGATCCTCTATCTAAGCCTGTCGCCTATTTCCTAAGGATCTGTATACTTCTGCTCCCTGCCCATTCATGTATCTGTCCAGATACATCTTAAATGACGCTATTGTGCCCACCTCTACCACCTCCGCTGGCAATGCGTTCCAGGCACCCACCATCCTCTGCATAAAGAACTTTCCACACATATCTCCCTTAAACTTTTCCCCTCTCACCTTGAAATCATGACCCCTGGTAATTGAGTCCCCCACTCTGGGAAAAAGCTTCTTGCTATCCACCTTGTCTATACATCTTATGATTTTGTAGACCTCAATCAGGTCCCCCCTCAACCTCCTCTTTCTAATGTAAATAATCCTAATCTACTCTACCTCTCTTCATAGCTAGAACCCAACATCCTGGTGAACCTCATCTGCACCCTCTCCAAAGCATCCACATCCTTTTGTTAATGTGGTGACCAGAACTGTATGCAGTATTCCAAATATGGTCAAACCAAAGTCCTATACAATTGCAACATGACCTGCCAACTCTTGTACTCAATACCCCGTCCAATGAATGAAAGCATGCCGTATGCCTTCTTGACCACTCTATCGACCTGCATTGCCACCTTCAGGGTACAATGGACCTGAACACCCAGATCTCTCCGTGCATCAATTTTCCCCAGGGTTTTTCCATTTACCGTATAGTTCGCTCTTGAATTGGATCTTCCAAAATGCATCACCTCGCATTTGCCTCGATTGAACTCCATCTGCCATTTCTCCGCCCAACTCTCCAATCTATCTATATTCTGCTGCATGGTCCGACAGTCCCCTTCACTCTCTGCTACTCCACCAATCTTAGTGTCCTCTGCAAACTTGCTAATCAGACCATCTATACCTTCCTCCAGATCATTTATGTATATCACAAACAACAGTGGTCCCAACACGGATCCCTGTGGAACACCACTGGTCACAGTTCTCCATTTTGAGAAACTCCCTTCCACTACAACTCTCTGTCTCCTGTTGCCCAGCCAGTTCTCTATCCATCTAGCTAGTACACCCTGGACCCCATGTGACTTCACTTTCTCCATCAGCCTACCATGGGGAACCTTATCAAATGCCTTACTGAAGTCCATGCATATGACATCTACAGCCCTTCCCTCATCTATCAACTTTGTCACTTCCTCAAAGAATTCTATCAAGTTGGTAAGACATGACCTTCCCTGCACAAAACCATGCTGCCTATCGCTAATAAGCCCATTTTCTTCCAAATGTAAATAGATCCTATCCCTCAGTATCTTCTCCAGCAGCTTCCCCACCACTGACGTCAAGCTCACCGGCCTATAATTACCTGGATTATCCTTGCTACCTTTCTTAAACAAGGGGTCAACATTAGCAATTCTCCAGCAATTCATACTTGCTTGTCTTGTTACTTCTTCCCAAGTGCATCACCTCATACTTATCAAGGCTAAATTCTGTCTATTGATGATCTGCTTATCTGACCAATCTATCTATATCCTCTCATAATCTGATACACCTCAATCAAGTCCCCTCTTAGCCTTCTCTGCTCTAAATACATCAACTTGAGCCTATTCAGTCTCTCTTCATAGTGAAAATGCTCCATCCCATCTTCCTCATGTGAACCACTCAGCCAATCTTCATGACACTACAAAATTGCTTAGCACCCAGTCACATAAATAGCCTTCTACCACTACTCTCTGTCTCCTGTCACTCGGACAATTTTGGATCCAACTTGTCAAAGTACCCTGGATCCATTGTACTATTAACACATGTAGCAGTCTCCCATGTGGGAACTTGTCAGAGAATTTGCTAAAATCCATATAAACTATATCAACTGCATTAGCCTCATCTACACACCTGGTCATCTCCTTGAAAAAAATCAATCAAATTTGTTCAGCATAGCCTCCCTCTGATAAAGCCATTGCTGACTATCCCCCATCAAACCTTCCCTCTCTAAGTGGAGATTAATTCTGTCCTTCACAGCTTTTTCCAATAGCTTCCTTACCACTTATGTGAGACTCTCTGGTCTGTAATTGAAACATTTCTGCAAATATCAGGGAATGTGAGCTCAGCTAGTCTTAAATCTGGGATTGACATATTTTTACGAATTAAGGATATGGAGCCAAGTCAGGTGGATGGTGTTAAAGTCATGATCAGCTCTGAGCTTACTGAAAGGTAAAAAAGCTTGAGGAGCTGAAAGGCCTACTCCTGTTCCTTAACTTTTGTCAAAGATTTCAGTGCCAGCTATTCTCTTAATTTAAACCTGATTTTTGGGATCCTGCAACCTTAAACTTGAATTTATATTCTGTTTTCTTTCAACATACATACCTGACAAAGATCTCCCATTTGTGGGCATGTGATGTCCTGGTGGTATTACCGCTGAACAATTAATCCAAAAACACAGACAGTGTTTTGGGGATGTGGATTTGAATCCTGCCATGGCAGATGATGGAATTTGAATTCAATAAAATATCTGAAATTAAGAACCTAACGATGACCATGAATCCATTGTCAATTGTCAGAAAAACCCATCTGGTTCACTAATGTCCCTTAGGGAAGGAAACTGTCAATCAAACATTTGAACTTAGTCTCCAATGTGATAATAAATTGTGGAAACAATCATACATGCCATCCTTACCTGGTCTGGCCTACATGTGACTCCAGACCCACAGCAATGTGGTTGGCTCTCAATTGCCCTCTGGACAAATAGGAATAGGCAGTGAATGCTGCCTGGCCAGTGATGCCCTCATCCCATGAATGAAGAAGGAAAAGAAAAATTACAGCCTGGTATGCCTCCAACCCTACCCCAGTTCAAATTCCCATGTTACCTGTTCTATTTTGCACAATATTCCACTTACTGTCTCTTTTCCAGTCACAGGGAGAGGGTGTAAACTCCATGAAGACAGTCACCTAAGGCTGAAATCGATCCTGGGTCCTCAGCATTGTGAGGTAGCAGTGCTAACCACTGAGCTACTGCACCATCCTACTTCACTTCCTACCCCACTTTATCATCATTGATTATATCAAACCACTTGAGGAAAAGAATAAAACCAGATAAACTATATTGCATCAACCTTGACATTGAGAACATCAAAGGCCCATCATGACCAGTCAATATTGCAAAGTCCTCCTCACGTACATTCCTGCAAAAAAAAATCAGTCTGTTGTATCTGAGTGAAAACATCAATACTTGCAGTTTTCATGGCTATTTCTTGATTTATTAATGTATGATGGTTTCCACAATTTATTATCACATTGGAAACTGAGTTCAAATGTTTGATTGACAGTTCCAAGAGTTTATTACAGAGATAGGTGCCTTTATTGTAGGACTACAAATATAATTTTTAATAAGGAATTAGATGTCTGAAGGGATTTAAATGGCTTTAGTCTATAATTGTTGTTTTATCTGTAATTAAGTCCATAATATATTCTTAGAAGTTTATTTCATCACATCATGGCTCCTGAGGGCTATCCATGATGTTTGCTGGGTAAGTTAGCATGGAGAGTGTAAGGGAAAAGGGTTCTAAGTTAGGGGACATGGATTGCTATTATTTTAGGCATAACAGCTATAAGGAACCATTGGTCGCCACCTAGGCCATGGTGGCCATCAAGAAGGTGGTAGAAGGGCATTAGTTGACATGGAGGGTAAGAGGAAGCATGGGAGAGTATGAGGAACCATGAGAGAAGGGGTTATTGATGCATGGATTGACATGGACGGTAAGAGGCTCCAAGGGGAATGATTTAAGGGGCATAAGTTGTCACGAATCACCAGGGAGAGCAGGTGGGTGCTGGGGTGATATGAGCGATGAGGGCTAAATGGCTTGACTAATTTTATTACAGAGACAAAGTCCCAAAGAACCAAGCCAAGCATTTGAAACAGCTCTTGTTGGTCTTCAGCTCCTCCTGTGGCTGCATACACACTGTTTCCAGGATTGGAAAGCCCACATGTACCCATCCAGAATCACATACAAACATATGAAATAGGAACAGAATGGGCTCTTCAATCCCTCAAGTCTGCTCTATCACTCAATAAGGTCATGGCTGACTTGTTTACATTTCAAATTCCACAATCCCCCAATAACCTTTGATTCCTTTGCCTAACAAAAACCTGCCTCTATCCATGTTAACATATTTACTTATCTCACCTCCAGCAGAGCTTCCAAAGTTGCCCAATCCTCTGAAAGGAAAGAATTCCCACATCTCTGTCCCAAAGGGGTCACTCCTAATTTTAAACAGTGCCCCCTGGTTCTGGACTCACCCACAAGAGGAAACAGTGGAAACAAGTCCAGCCTGTCCAACTCATCCTCATAAGATAACCCACTCATTACCATAACCTCCTATTTATGATACCATTTGTTGAATCTTCATTGTATCCATTTCCTTGAGATTAATATCGTTCTTACAGTATGTATGCAGAACCATACCTTTTATTTCAGATCTCAAATATTCCTCCTAATTAAAACATAAACAATCACGTAGTCTCCCAGCAATTTAATTCATCATTCAACTAATTTATTACTGTTCATCATATTGATTTACTTAATTTCTGCTTTTCATTTTTTGATGTTAACAATTTCTAAATTTTTGCCCCTTTTGTTTGTGATTTTAGCCCTTCTTTGTCCACTTGGCACCTTTGCAACTGAGACTGTGCGAATAAGCTCCATTCCCAGGCCTGCATCAATGGCTGAGGGATGCCAAGTCAAACATATAACTTTCCACTCATCATATTGTGAGATATCTATGGTGTTCAAAGCAGTTGAGATTAGGATCTAAGCTGTGCAATACGCTGCATATGATCCTGCTCTGTGGCACAAGTGTATGAGCAATATTTAGTACCACTTTGTCCCCTCGAGAATTCACAAAATCCCACTGGAGACCTAGGAAGAAAACCAACATCTTGGTCAAAACTAAAAGCTAGCATTTACTAAAAAGCTATTTACTGCATTATATTGAGCTATGTTGGTAGTATTAGTCAAATCATACATAATAATCATGAATAAGCTCATTGCTTGTCCAGAGGAGAATGCTGTGGAGCATCAATTAGATTTGCAGAGTAAATCAAATTTATAAATAATTGACAACAATAATATATTATTCACTACAAATAGTTCTTACCTTCCAGCTGTGAAGGTGCCTCAGTTAGTTCAATAACTGCAAAAAAAAAATATTTATTAACCTTCAGAGAATCTTGCAACACGGAAACTTTTCTCTAGGAATCACTGTACCATTTAAGAGATAACACATTGTGGAGCTGGAGGAACACAGCAGGCCAGGCAGTATCAAAGGAGCAGGAAAGCTGACGTTTCGGGTCGGGACCCTTCTTCAGAAATGGGGGCGGGGTAGAGGACTCTGAAATAAATAGAGAGAGGAGGGGTGGGGCTGGGGAAGCTAGGTGGGGTAGTGATAGTGAGTGCAGGTTGGCAACGGTGGGGATTCGTCAGTGAGGTGGGAGATAGATGGGAGAAAAGACGGACAGGTCAAGGAGGCGGGGATGAGAGGTAGGTGGGATGGCGATAGGTGAGTGCAGGTAGGCAATGGTGGAGGTTGGTCAGTGAGATGGGAGGAGCGGAAGGGACCGCTCTCTCTGCAACTCCCTTGTCCGCTCCACATTCCCCATTAGGCCCACCACCCCCGGCACCTTTCCCTGCAACTGCAGGAGGTGCTACACCTGCCCCTACACCTCCCCCCTCACCTCCATCCCAAGACCCAAAAAACCTTCCACATCAAACAGATGTTCACCTGCACATCCGCTAATGTGGCCTATTGCATCCGCTGCTCCCGATGTGGCCTCCTCTACATCAGTGAGACCAAGCAGAGGCTCGGAGACCACTTTGTGAAGCATCTGCACTTGGTTTGCGACAAACAACAACAGCTTCCAGTCGTGAACTACTTCAACTTTGCCTCCCACTCCCTGGGCGACATGTCCATCCTGGGCCTCATCCAGTGTCACAATGATGCCACCTATAAACTGGAGGAGCAGCACATCATATTCTGCCTTGGGAGCCTACAGCCCAATGGTCTTAACGTGGACTTTACTAGTTTCAAAATCTCCCCACCTCCGGCCTCAGCCCATGACCAACCCTCCCTCTCATCCCCGTCTCCTTGACCTGTCCATCTTCTCTCCCAACTATCTGCTCCTCCCACCTCACTGACCAACCACCACCATTGCCTACCTGAACTCACTATCGCCACCTCACCTACCTTTCCCAGCCCCACTCCTCCTCTCTATTTATTTCAGAGCTCCCTTTCCCCTCCCCCATTTCTGAAGAAGGGTCCCGACCCGAAACATCAGCTTTCCTGCTCCTCTGTTGTTGGCTGGCCTGCTGTGTTCCTCCAGCTCCACATTGTGTTATCTCTGACTCCAGCATCGGCAGTTCTTACTATCACTGTACCAATTAACTTACTTTTCGGCATTTTGCAAATGAAATATTTATTCCCTGAACACGGAATGTTGTTCCAGTAACTTGAATCCGAGAACATTTCAACACAGTTTTCATTTTTATGATCTGAAGGTTCTCCTTTATTCCAGTTCACAAAATCCACAACATTATTGTCTATCCATAACCACTCTCCTGAAATGAGAAACCAAATGGCTAACGTGAGTAGAAAGCCTGCAATCTTCTCATGTCATTCAGATGCCATTTTAATTTCAGCAACAATAACTTGCATCTGTATAAAACCTTTAACATAGAAAAATATGCATAGCCACCATTCAAGAGGATTTCCAACGTATATTAATGCAGTGTACGTAAAGAACGTTAAGACAAGCTCTCGAAGAGATTGGCCTTCAGGAATATCTTAAAGAGGAAGGAGAGTGTTTTAAATGGGAGGTTTAATAAAAACACATGATGCAGAGGGGCATTTTAATTTCAGATAAAATGGAGGAATGAAGCAGGCTGAGTGATCTGTTCTGAATCCAGCTGACAATAATCCTGGGTGGATTGGGTATTAAAGATTAAAATGAAACCCAGCTTGCTTTACTGGAAAGGTGTGCCTTTAAAACGTGACCCAGGCAGCTATGCTGATGGCAGATAGATTGTTGGCCCTCAAGTCCAAGGGAGCTACGATGAATGTCACAATTTATAAACAATTAAAACGTAACCTATCTAGTTATTTTCAAGACAGATTAAGTTTGGGGTCCAGACAATAACGATTAGCATTTTTACCTGAATACAAGGCCCAAGTTATTCATGTTTCCAAGGAGATAGACTTTGAAAGAGAAAGAATCTATTGGAAGCCATTACAGGATGGTATTACAGATTTTTCTAAAAAAAAAATGACCCAACTTCACAGGCATTCTCAGTCTGCAAAAATCTGAGGGAACGCGGAAGAGAAAGCAAAGAGATAGAGACAAGTATTTATTGTTCACCAAACAAAATATGAGGAGGGGCTCATGCTCTGGTTGAAGGGATGAAGACTGTGGAGGTTCAAATAGGTCAGAAGATTTTCCTTGCCTGTGCTACAGGAATGTATCTGCAGTGAAACGTACATCGTGAAAGTCAGTTTTGGGACTAGACATTATCCAACTAGAAAAGGATAAAGGAGTTAAGAATTGCATTGGACTAGCTCCCAGCGAATAAGGTGCATACTTGCGGGACAGAGTAAAGTTTAAACTATGGATGGACTATTTTTTAAGTCATTTTACATGTTAAATTAAGGATCCTTTTTTGTAGTTTAGAATTTGTGACCTACAAAAGTAGTGTGTAGTCACTGTTGCTTTTAGTACAGAAGCATAGGGAGGGAATTCTAGAGCCTTAAGTTCAGTATGAATCAGTACAAAATGGGCAGCTGAATTCATATCACCTGTTTTACATTCTCTGTCGTAGTTCAATGTTCCAGCTATTGGACTAAGTTGAAATGGGTACACAGAATTCACTTTATACACAATAATATTCCACAAACAGTTATGATATAAATGATTTGTGTTATGACCCCAGCTGACAGGTCAGATCCCAGACTGAAATCTGGCTTGAGAGATATTATTTTATTTAATGAGGTAGTCATTCACTGAAGCACAACCACACAATGCTATCAATTCAATTTCAGCAATAAAACAGACGTTTATTAAGCAGAATAAATGAAAACAAAATATTTACAAATAACACACAGTAAAATATAATCACAACAGCATTCTATTACAGTACTTAAACACTAGGGAAAATTCCTTCTCTATCCCACATAGGATTTGACTTGGCTATGGATTCAATTCCTGATTATGAGAATCTGCTATTGTTTTTCTTGATTTTATTTTCCCTGTGCCAAAACTTTCTCAGTTCATATAATCCCTTAAGAGTTTTAACAAAATATTTCTGACGTTGAACTTTTAAAGTGAACTCCTTATGCTAGGACAAGCTTTCTTAACAGTCCTAAATGATAGGGGCAGTATCAAGATGCCCATCGATGAATGAACCAATTGATGCTCTTAAGTCGACAAGTAATAGGTTTTAAACCATGGCAGGAGAGGCCCATACCAAAATATCGAAAAATGAGTGAAACCAGATGGACCACCTGGTATCAACCAAATGGCAATGGTAAACTCAGCTCTGTCAATCCTATAAAGTCCTCCTCACTAATATCTGGGGGTTAGTACCAAAATTGGGAAAGTTGGCTGACAGGCCAGTCAAGCAATAACTTGACAGAGTCACACACATGGAATTTTACCTTACAATAGCCCAGACACCAACAACACAATCCCTGGGTCCAGACTATCAGTGGGACAGCACAGTGGCATAGAATTGGAAGGGAGTTGTCAAAATTTACTCCTTACCTCATGAGGCCTCATGTCATCAGGCATAGACAAGCAGAGCTTCTGCTAATTACTAAGAACCACCACCATGTGACAACTCAACAGCTAATAAATCAATGCTCCTTGACATTGTATACCATGTGGAGGATGCACAGTGTGTGGCACAGGCTCAGAATGTACTCTGGGTGGGGGACTTCATTGTCCATCAGCAAGAGTGACTGGGCAGTGCCAGTGACTCCTGTCCAAGCTGGCTGAGTCCTGAAGGGCATAACTGCTAAAGTGGATCTGCAGCAAGTGATGAGAAAACCAACAAGTAAGAAAACAAGCAGTTAACCTCATCCTCATCAATTTGTCTGTCGTAGACAGATAGGATTTACACTGGTTCAATGAAAAGTGCAGAAGGGCATGCCAGGTGCAGTACTGGACAAATCTAAAAATGGCATGTCAAACTGGAGAACCTCCAACACAGGATGACTTGTGTGGCAAATAGTGTAAGCAGCAAATGATAGACAAGGCTATGTGATTCCACAGCTAATGGGTCAGATCTAAGTTCTATACAACTTCCATATTTAATGTTGTTAATATTGTTATGCAATTAAGCAACTTACCACAGCAGGTGGCTCTATCAATATCCCCATTCTCTTAGATAGGGGAGCTCAGTACATCAATGCAAAACATTAGCCTGAAGGATTTACAACCATTTTCAGCCCGAAGGGCTCAGTGAATGATCCGCTTCAGCCTCCTCCTCTGGAGATACTCAGCAAAATAGAAGCCAGTCTTCAGCCCGTTTGAGTCACTGCACATAATATCAAGATACAGCTGCAGGCACTGGATATTGTGAGCATAGGAACCTGATGCTATTCCATCATAGTACTGAAGACATGTGCTCCAGAAATTGCTGCACCCATCATGCAGTCTTCTTAGATGGAACCATTCAGCTCCTAACTTCATTGCAGCTTTGACTTGTAACATTAAGCAAAAATCCCCAATATTAAAACATATGGACAAAACCCTGGATTTTGGACAGAGTCCTGGACTTTCGAAACTTTTAAAAACAAAAATGAAAACTGGAATGAGTCTGCAAGAAATACACAATCAGCAGGCCTGGGAAAGGAGATCGCTGTCTGGCACTATTGTTCAGCCTGGAATCCCAAGTTACACTTCCTGTCTAAAAGAACAGTTGACCAAATCTTAACAGACCCTGGCCTGAGACAGCTCTTATACCATGGGCTACACAGTGCAGACTGTATGGGGCTTGCAGAGATACTGGACATTCAACCTCAATCAAAACCCATTCACACATACTCTAACTGTCGGAAACCCAATTAACTTCAGAAGAGAACATCAAGAGCTTAAAGAAAACAACAGATTTTAGGAGTGATAAGAAGACACGCAGTCAGTATAACTGCCAGCCCTGATCTCACCTGAGGCGAGAGCCTTTTTCAACAACAAGCTTCTGCACAAGCAACTTCTCTACAGGCTTCCACCCCCAACAAGCAGTTTTGGAACCAAGAATCATAGAGGCCGAACCGAGACCAGAGAAGCCAAACCAAGGGTCTCATCAGAACAAAAATCATCTGAGAGGGGGAAGCCAAACATTATCTAAAAATTAGCTTCCAGACATGGCTTGTTCTGAACCAAGAGAAACATCACCAAGAACCACAACAACTGACCATGACTGCAGAACTAAAGACTGACAACCCTGAGAAATAACCGACCTCAACCGACACCACAAGTCCTTAGATACAACCTGAGGTGAAAACCGTGCCCATAAAACCAGCAGAAAGCAAAAGTATGTTCTTGATGGATCCACTACGCACCTTACCACATCAATGGACTCAACCCAAACTGAACAACCTACATAGTCCAAAGTCTTCATCCAGTCTCTGGATACGGCAAGAGGGAACAGCGAGGTGCCTTCCTAAACCGTGTTTTCTCAGTGGTGAGCATAAACTCCCAAGACCCCAAAATTCCGACCTAGCTAGCAAGGAGGGGAAGGCAGGTGGTGGCAATGCATTGAGATCCCATGAGTAGGAATTCTGATCAAAGACTCTGAAATTAAAGACTGTTGTTTTCTGTATGTGTCAGTAGGATAGTGTTCAAATAGTGTTAATCTAGTTGATAGTGTATTTAAAGTATTACAGTTCTCCTGTATAATTGGTTGTGTTAATTTCCTTGATTTATTACATTGCCTATTTTCTTGTGTTATAATTACATTTTGTATTTTAAATAAATGCAGAGATTCTTTCGCCTGGAAATATCTGTCTCCTGCATCTTCATTTCACATTTCCTAAATAAGTCCAGTATCTAGATCCAGGGGTCTGGGAGTGATTCAAACCACTTCAAGATCAGAAAATAGCTGATTGCAAACATGGAACGTCTACAACAAAACTGAGTCAACTGAAAGCAGTGAAAAGTCCTCTGCCTTGGCACAAAGGGAAATATTGGAGGTCAATTATCTCAGCTCCAGAACATCTCTGCAGGAGTTCTTTAGGGTAGTGTCCTCAGCCCAACCATCGACAATTACTTCATCAAGAACTTTCCCTCCACCGTACAATGGGATGTGGGGATGTTTGCTGATGATTGCACAATGTTCAGCATCATTCATGACTCCTTGGACACTGGAGCAGTTCATGTCCAACTGCAACATATCCTTGCTTGAGTTGACATGTGGCAAGCAATGTCCAAGTCATACAAGTGTCATCCTTTCACAATTTCCACCAAGAGAGAATCTACCCATCACTCTTTGACATTCAATTGCAATATCTTCACTGAATAAACAACTATCACCATGCTGGGGGATTACCATTGACCAGAACCTGAACTGGTCCACCCATATAAATACCCTGACTACAAGAGCAGATCAGAGGCTAGGAATCCATCAGCAAGTAACTCAGAGTCGTAGAATCATACAGCAAAGAAGAAGCCTTTCAGCCCATTGAATCTGCACAGTCCTATTCACACTAATCCTACTTTACTGTAGTTATGATATTTCCAAAGATCATCCAAGTACTTTTTGAAAGTACTTAGGTTTCCCAGCTCTACTATCCTCCCAGGCAGATTCCCACCATCCTCTGGTGACTTTTTTTTCTCAAAGCCCCTCTAAACCTCCTGTGCCTCGTTATTGACCTTTCAACTAAGGGGAACAATTGCTTTCTATCCACCCTGTCCATGCCCTTCATTATCTTGGACACTCTATCAGGCGCCCTTCCCACAGTCTTCTCTGCTTTAAAGAAAACCAGCCATGTTTATCCAGCCTCATTCAATTGAATGTTGCATCAAGGAACATTAGGAGCAAAATCCAAAAGGACTGCGGATGCTGTAAATCAGGAACAAAAACAGAAGTTTCTGGAAAAGTTCAGCAGATCTGGCAGCATCTGTGAAGAAAAAATCAGAGTTAATGTTTCGGGTTCGGTGACCCTTCCTCAGAACTCAACATTTGGACCAAAACTGGAATCAATAGGCATCGGGGGCAATCTCTCCAGTGGTTGGAGTCATACCTGGCAGATAGGAAGATGGTCATGGTTGCTGGAGGTCAGTCATCTCAGCTCCAGGACATTTCTGCAGGAGTTCCTCAGGCCCAACCATCTTTAGTTGCTTCATCAATGACCTTCTCTCCATCATAAGGTCAGAAGTGGGGACGTTCACTGATGATTGCACAATGGTCAGTACCATTCGCAACTCCTCAGATACTGAAGCAATCGATGTTCAAATGCAACAAGGTCTGGACAATATCCAGGCTTGGGCTGACAAGTAGCAAGTGAGATTCGTGCCACACAAATGCCAGTCTATGACTATCACCAATAAGAGACAATCTAACCACCGTCCCTTGACATTCAATGATGTTACCATCACTGAATCCCTCACTATCAATATCCTGGGGGTTATCATTGACCAGAAACTCAAATGGATTCACCACATAAACACAGTGGCTACAAAAGCAAGTCAGAAGCTAGGAATACTGCAGTGAGTAACTCACCTCCTGACTTCTCAAAGCCTGTCACCATCTACCAGGCACAAGTCAGGAGTGTGATGGAATACTCCCACTTGCCTGGGTGAGTGCAGCCCCAACAACACTCAAGAAACTTGACACCATCCAGGACAAAGCAGCCCCCTTGATTGGCACTATATCCACAAGCATTCACTCCCTCCACCACCTGCACTCAGTAGCAGCAGTGTGTACTATCTACAAGATGCATTGCAGAAATTCACCAAAGATCCTCTCTGCAGTACCTTCCAAACCCACAACCACTTACATCTAGAAGGATAAGGACAGCAGACATATGGAAACACTACCACCTCCAAGTTCCTCTCCAAGTCACTCGCCATCCTGACTTGGAAATATATCGCCATTCCTTCACTGTTGCTGGGTCAAAATCCTGGAATTCCCTCCCTAATGGCATTGTGGGTCAACCCACAGCAGGTGGACTGCAGCGGTTCAAGAAGGCAGCTCACCACCACCTTCCCCAGGGTAACTAGGGATGGGCAAGAAATGCTGGCCAGCCAGTGACACCCACATCCCACAAATGAATAGGAAAAAACATCTTGAATAAGGGCAGCAGATATCTGTGAACACCACCACCTGCAAGTTTGCTTCCAACTACTCACCATCCTGAAATACGTTGGAAATACATTGCTGTTTCTTCAGTGTCACTGGATCCTGGGAACTGCCTCCCTAATGGCATTATGGATCTACCTCCAGCAAAATGATTGTATCGTTCAAAAAGGCAGTTCACCACTACCTTCTCAAGAGCAATTTGTAAGTGCTGTAAGTGCTGGCTCTGCCAAGGAGGCTAACAATCAATGAATGAACAAGCTTAAAAGCATTTAAGAGAGAAATATCTTTACCTTCCACATTCTGATACATTCCTAGCCAGAATGATTTTGCCTTGTCAGCCATCATTTCCGATATATGGAATAAGAAGTGGCTTTCTGCAGCGTTGTCTATACTTACTAATGTAGCCCCTGAAAAAGTGAAAATTGATAGATATTTTCATTGAAGTGTGTATAGGAAAAATAATTGTGTCTTAATTACAGAATTATATTTATGTAAGAGTGTGCTACATTGACAGATGGATTACCGAAGAGTGTCAAATATATCATTGCAGTTTAAAGTAAAATATCACAGATGCTGGAAATCTGAAACAAAAAAAAGAAAAAGCTGGAGAACCGCATCAGATCTGGCAGGAACTCTAGAATGTTCTGAAGAGTTATATCATAATCAAAATGTTAATTTTGTTTCTCTGTCCAGTGATGCTGCTGCAAAGTGTCTCCAGATTACTTCATTTCATGGTTTGCAGTAATTTCAATTTGTGTTATAAAATTCCAGTTATTTTCATACTTAAATTAAAGTTGGATGATGCTTTTCTGCTAAGACATTGATTTATTTGCCAAGCTTCCAATCTTCAATTTCTTTTGAAGGCTGGGAAAAAGAAATTTAGTCTGTGAAGATGTGTGTATTCACATATCGACCTTGAACAAAGTACTTACCAAGGCGAATGCATTCAAGACTGGCAGAGGCCCAGTTTCTTTTAATTGCTGCTTCAAATAAATAGCAATGGCCATGGAATGGAATCCAAGATTTGGACAGCGTTGTTTCTGGGCATTTTCCAGGGAGCTGAGGTGGATCAGCAGGCGGTTGCACTGACAAGAAAGAAGACAAATGTTTCCTGCTGGCTAGTCTTATCTGATGGTGATGTCGGTTAAAGAAAGTAATCAATTGTGTTTTACTCGTATTTAAAAAGAAAATCTCCTCTTCCTTCCCACCCCTTTAAATTTCATAACATGCACCAATTGCCATTTGAAAGGATGGGCAAATGCTCTATTAAGGTTCTACCATTGCTGTGCTTTAACTAGGACATCCATGAAAGACTACAATTTTTTGAATCAACATTCAATTTTGCCTCAGCCTCAGTATGACAAGGGACACATGACAGGAGCGATATTAGATCTGTATTGATTGCTTTTTAGGTGTTTGTATAAGATAATGTTTCTGAAAGGGTGAATGTTGGACATTGCATTAAGCTCCAATCTAATGATGATATACTGTTATGGTGGAGAGTTGAGGAGCTCGGTTCAAAATCCTGGTGAAGACAGCTCTTTCATCATTGTCTCCAGATGGTCTTACTCAGTATGTATAACACATAACTATTGCTTTTATGCAATAAATTCTGTTGTTAAGACAAGTAGTTATTAAACTGATGCAAACAATGCTGATCTCACCAACATTGATCTCGCCTAGCACACACCCTGTGCAATGTAACCTGTATACCTCTATCCAAGTCTTTTTGATCTCAATGTCCTTGCTAACCATGATCTGCCTGCACTGCTCATAAACAAAGCTTTTCACTGTACTTCGGTACACATGACAATAAATCAATCAATCATTAAGACTCACTTGTGGCTCATCCTCTATCACTATTAACTAAATAGATCCTTAGTCTCAGTTTAAAATGGAGAGTTGGGGCTTTTATGGTGCAGGGGTAGTGTTGCTATCTCAGAGCCAGAAGACCTGAGTTCAAGGTGTTGTGAAATTTGAGCAGGTTCAGAACAGATTTACAAGGATATTGATAGGGTTTGAGCTATAGGGAGAGGATGAATAGGCTGGGGCTATTTTCCCTGGAGTGGAGATGCTGAGGGGTGACCTTATCACAGAATAGAATCCCTACAGTGTGGAAACAGGCCCTTTGGCCCAACAAGTCCACATCGAACCTCAGAGCATCCCACCCAGACCCATCCCCCATAACCCACCTAATCCACACCTCATTGAACACTATGGGCAATTTAGCATGGCCAACCCACCTAACCTGCACATCTTTGGACTGTGGGAGGAAACTGGAGCACCCGGAGGAGACCCAAGTAGACACGGAGAGAATGTGCAAACTCCTCACAGACAGTTGCCCGAGGCTGGAATCAAACCCGGGTCCCTGGCGCTGTGAGGCAGCAGTGCTAACCACTGTGCCACCGTGCCGCCCCCAAGTTTATAAAATCATGAGGGGCACGGCTAGGGTTTATAGACAAAGTCTTTTCTGCAGGGTAGGGGAGTCCAGAACCAGAGGGCGTAGGTTTACAGTTAGAGGGGAAAGATTTTGAAGGAACCCAAGGGGTAACTTTTTCATGCGGAGGGTGGTGCATGCATAGAAGGAGCTGCCAGAGGAAGTGGTGGAGGCTGGTACAATTACAACATTTAAAAGGCATCTGTTCGGGTATATGAATAGGAAGGGTTTAGAAGGTTATGAGCCAAATGTTGGCAAATGGGGCTAGATCTATTTAGGATATCTGGACGGTATGGACAAGTTAGATCGAAGAATCTGTTTCTGTGCTGTATATCTCTATGACTCTATGATTCTAAGTCCCATGTGTTCCAGAGGTGTATCACAGCACGTCTGAAGTGGGTGATTAAAAATATTTAGAAAGGAGGAATAAGGCAGCAGTCTATCCCAACAATGAACAGGTGGTGGTGAGTTCCACAGTACATACAACAGTTACTATGTCGCCTAACGTTTGGAAATGGTCTCTAAGATGCACATGCACACTGCTAATGAGAAAATGTTGGATGCTGACTTGGTAGAGGGCATTGGCTCAAGCACCTAGTGACTTTGGCATCATTCAGTGCAGTCAGATACTGATAGTAATCAACGTGCAATGTTAATTTGATGCGAGTAACAGAACAGCAAGCTGCGGCCTATGCTGTGCCATAATTTACATAACATACCCTACCAACACCCCACCTATTTAAAGAGATCATGAACTACATATAGGTTAGTTGATGTATTATTTGCTTTGGCTGCTGATACAATTGTACACATCCATCTGCTTTCCTATATTTGTTCAAAGTTTAAAATCACACAACAACAGGTTATAGTCCAACAAGTTTATTTGAAAACATAAGCTTTCAGATCTCAGTTCATTCCTCAGGCATAGTGTGAGAGAGAGGGTATAAGACACGGAATTTATAAGGAGAAAGGTAACAACCTTAAAACTGGCTGCCCCTTGTTGAATGTTTAGTCAGTTAGGAAGGAGACTACTGATTAAAATGCAAAATCCAGATTCCTCTCAAGTTATTGACCTGAGATAAATAAAAGTTTTATCAATGTATACAAGAAGTGACATCTCACGTCAGACAATGCATTTTAGGTATGAGGTCTTGCTTAGAATCTGTCTATGTTTTAAACTGGGGTCAGGTCTTTTTTGAGTAAAACAGAATGTATCTGCAACTACACAAACATCTTGGATAAAATAATTCAAGTGTGTGTCTGTGTCTCTGTGTGTGTGTCAGTGTGTGTCCGTGTGTGTCCGTGTGTGTGTGTGTGTGTGTGTGTGTGTGTGTGCGCACACGCGCGCGTGCATGTGAGTATGTGTGTGTGCGTGTGTGCGCGCGTGCGAGTGTGTGTGTGTGTATGTGTGTGTGTGTGTGTGTGTGTGTGTGCGTGCGAGTGTGTGTGTATTCTGTGTGTGTCCGTGAGAGTGTGTGAGTGTGTTTGTGTGAGAGAGTGTGTGAGTATGAGTGAGAGAGTATGTGTGATTGTGTTTTTGTGAGAGAGTGTATGAGTGTGTTTTTGTGAGAGAGTGTGTGAATGTGTGTGTTTTTGAGATAGAGTGTGTATGTGTGAGTGTGTTTTTGTGAGAGAGTGTGTGTGTGTAAATGTGTTTGTGTGAGAGAGAGTGTGTGTATGTGTGAGTGTGTGTGTGTTTGTGTAAGAAAGTGTGTGTGTGTTTGTGTGAGAGAGTGTGTATGAGTGTGTGTGTGTTTGTGTGAGAGAGTGTGAGTGTGTTTGTGTGAGAGAATGTGACAGTGTGTTTGTGTGAGAGAGAGAGTGTGTGTGAGTGTGTTTTTGTGAGAGTGTGTGTGTGTTCTTGTGAGACAGTGTGTGAGTTTGTGAGTGTGTTTGTGTGAGAGAGTGTGTGAGTGTGTTTTTGTGAGAGAGTGTGTCTGTATGTGTGAGTGTGTTTTTGTGAGAGAGTGCGTGAGTGTGTGTGTTTGTTTAGAGAGTGTGTGAGTGTGTTTGTGTGAGAGAGTGTGTGAGTGCATTTTTTGCGAGTGTGTGTGTGTGTGTGTTTTTGTGAGAGTATGTGAGTGTGTTTTTTTGAGAGAGTGTGTGAGTGTATGAGTGTGTTTGTGTGAGAGAGTGTGAGTGTGTTTGTGTGAGAGAGTGTGAGAGTGTGTGTGGGAGTATATAATGTGGTAGGGTCACATCTAGTGTAACATGAATCCAAGATCATGATTGAGGCCGCCCTCATGGGTATGGAACTTGGCTATCAGCCTCTGCTCAGTGATTTTGCGTTGTTGTGCATCTATCTCGAAGTCCACCTAGGAGGATGCTCACCCGAGGATTGGAGGCTGAATGCCCCTGACCCCTGAAGTGTTCCCTGACTGGGAGGGAACACCACTGTCTGGAGAAAGTTGCATGGTGTCCATTCATCCATTGTCGTAGCATCTCCATGGTCTCATCAATAAACCTTGCGCAGGGCATCCTTCCCTGCAGCATTTGAGATAGACAACGTTGGCTGAGTCACATGAGTATCTGCTGTGTATGTGGTGGGTGGTGTTCCCATGTGTGATGGTAGTGTCCATGTCAAAGGTCTGACATGTCTTACAGAGGTTGCCATGACAGAGTTGTGTGGCGTTGTGGTCAATGTTGTCCTGAAGGCTGGGTAGTTTATTGCACTACCGCTCCTGGAATTGCCCCTGCCCCCTCAGTCTGCTCCACCACAGGACACTGCCCCCTCAGTCCGCTCCACCACAGGACACTGCCCCCTCGCTCCGCTCCACCACAGGACACTGCCCCCTCAGTCCGCTCCCCCACAGGACACTGCCCCCTCAGTCCGCTCCGCCACAGGACACTGCCCCCTCAGTCCGCACCGCCACAGGACACTGCCCCCTCCGTCCGCTCCACCACAGGACACTGCCCCTTCAGTCCGCTCCATGGGACACTGCCCCCTCAGTCTGCTCCGCCATGGGACACTGCCCCCTCAGTCTGCTCCACCACAGGACACGGCTCCTTCCGTCCGCTCCACCACAGGACACTGCCCCCTCAGTCCGCTCCACCACAGGATACTGCCCCCTCAGTCCGCTCCGCCACAGGACACTGCCTCCTCGCTCTGCTCCATGGGACACTGCCCCTTCAGTCCGCTCCACCACAGGACTTGGCCCTCTCACTCCACTGTTGATTGTCTGACGCACCTCACCATCTGTTGCCGTTGCTCTGGCCCGCGCTGGATTCACTGTGGTGCACATTTGCGCGTTCAGGTCTTCTTGGTCTCCGGTCGCGCATTAGCATTAGAATCCGAGAAGGACAGGTCACATTGTGAGGCTGTTCGAACCTCGGTGCAGGTACAAGTTACCACTTTCTTAGTCTTTCTCCTTTACTGTGCATTTTCCTGCAGCGCCTTCCAGACCTGGGCATGAGCCAACATCACACGGCTGCAAACTGTAGGTAACTTGGTGATGGGATATCCGCCTCGGTGGAGTTATTTCAATGGCAGCCAGAACTGCTACGTCAAGTGTGGTCTAAGAAAGGCTCGATAAAGATTCAGCATAACTTTCTCAGAGATAGTAAGAACTGCCGATGCTGGAGTCGGAGACAACAGTGTGGAGCTGGAGGCATCCCACCTACCTTCCCCAGCCCCACCCCTCCTCTTTCTATTTATTTCAGAGCTCCCTTCCCCCTCCCCCATTTTCTGAAGAAGGGACTAGGCCCGAAACGTCAGCCTTCCTGCTCCTATGATGCTGCTTGGCCTGCTGTGTTCATCCAGCTCTACACCTTGTTATCTCAGATTCTCCAGCATCTGTAGTTCCTGCTATCTCTACCTCACATTTATCTAGGTTGAACTTAATTTGTCAATTGTTTGCTACTCTGCATTTGCCTTCTTGTAATTTGTGACATTTCTCCTTAGTTTTGACTACACAATTGTCATTTGCAAATTTTGAAATTGTGGTTTTGATTACAAGTCAAAATTTGTACGGAAATTGTGAACTTTAGTCCCAACTACAATCCTGGTGAAAACTACTTCCTACCTCTGGTACTCTGAACAACTTGTCTTTATTCTCACTCTCTGCCAGTCAGCAATCCATTCTACCATTTTTCTCCTGATTTCACATTCTCTGACTTTACTTATTGATCTGTTATGGGTTATCTAATTGAAGGCCTTTTTTTAAAATCCATGTAAGTTATATGTAATATATTACCAATGCTGTCTGTTAACTCTTCAAAGGTCCACCGTGATACTTCCTTTTGAAATCCACACAGACTATTCCATAATTTACTGCTCATTTCAAAACCAGTTATTTGAATCCATCTGGGAAAGCCATTCCTACTATTACAACTCGTCTATAAAGATGGCATCATATATTAAGGGCAGGCCAAATCAGCATTGACACTTAAAAACCCTGCCTTGACCACAACTTAGGCATCTGGAGAAAGATGGGCCCATAGGTTATAACGAAGTAAATTTTAGAACAATATGCTCTAGAAGCTACAAACACAAACTAAAGCAATGCTACATATTTTTCTTTACTGATGTTGATATTCCCTTTATTAACATCGTTTGAACTCTGACTGCTTTATAAATAAATGAAAAATAATTTGTGTTGCTAAGTTATTATTTTAATACCATTAAAACCTCAAGTAAAAAGCATGTTTATCACAACTATCATGAGGTATTGTGAGCTGAATGTTTCTTACCAGAAGACTTTTTACAAACAGCATAATATTCATTGTCACAGTTTGAAGTTATCCATTTTCCATCTGGATTCATGAAGACACACCCATCATTGATCTTGGGCTCATCCACATCCCATTTAGAAAAGCGCAGTCTCCAACCGTCTATCCATCTGTACTGTCCTGAAGTCTAAAAATATTTCTGTTTTAAAATATTGCATTATTCTCCTTAATCATTTCTACTAATGAAATTAAGAGCTGCAGTTTTATTGACTAACGAGGGCAAATAGGGATGTGCAATAGATGCTGGTCCAGCCAGTGAATCCCACATCTTCTGAATGAGTCAATAAAAGCAGCAAAGGCGATAATATTTCTTGACACCATCTGCATCTCAAACTCGCAAAGTAATCTTTAAAAATCCCTCACGCATATTGCTTCCAATCCCATGCATCATCTTGCTGAATCTATGTTTTATATTCTTTCAATATTGTCACTCCGGGATTATAAATCTTGAAAGGTATATCCTAAATGTTACATTTCAAAAGATTGAAAATTGTGGTTTAGAAAACAATTTCATCTCTTGAGACAACAAAGAGGATTGTTTTTCTCTGATGTGACTTATTATTGGTCAAGCCAAAAGGTAAATCAAATGAGTTAACACCTTTATTGTAATACAGAGATAGTAGGAAAAATCCTTCCCAAAATCCACAAACCTGACTGCCCTGGTTGACCCATTGTCTCCGCCTGCTCCTGCCCCACCGAAATTATCTCCACCTAACTGGCAACCACCTAGAAACTGATATCCATTTCAAGCCCACTGACTCCCACAGCTACCTAGAATACACCTCCTCCCACCCACCTTCCTGCAAAAATGCCATCCCCTATTCCCAATTCCTTCACCTCCGCCGCATCTGCTCCCAGGATGAGGCATTCAACCCCTGTACATTTCAGATGTCCTCATTTTTCAAGGACTGCAATGTCCCCCCCTCAGTGGTCGAGAACGCCCTCGACCGTGTCTCCCGCATTTCCCACAACTCATTCCTCACACCCCCTCCCCACAATAACAACCAAAACAGAATCCCCCTCGTCCTCACGTACCACCCCACCAACCTCCGGATCCAACGCATCATCCTCCGACACTTCCGTCATCTGCAATTCGACCCCACCACCAAAGACATTTTTCCCTCCCCACCCTTATCTGCTTTCCGGTGGGACCACTCTCTCCGTGACTCCCTTGTCCGCTCCACACTCCTCTCCAGCCCCACCACACCCGGCACTTTTCCGCAACCGCAGAAAGTGCTACATCTGCCCCTACACCTCCCCCCTCACCCCCATCCCAGGCCCCAAGAAGACTTTCCACATCAAGCAGATGTTCACCTGCATATCTGCTAATGTGGTATACTGCATCCGCTGTATCCGTTGTGGCCTCCTCTACATCGGGGAAACCAAGCGGAGACTCGGGGACCGCTTTGCAGAACACTCAGTTCGCACTAAACAACTGCACCTCCCAGTCGCGAACCATTTCAACTCCCCCTCCCATTCCTCAGACGACATGTCCATCCTGGGCCTCCTGCAGTGCCACAACGATGCCACCCGAAGGTTGCAGGAACAGAAACTCATATTCCGCTTGGGAACCCTGCAGCCCAATGGTATCAATGTAGACTTCACAAGCTCCAAAATCTCCCCTCCCCCTACTGCATCCCAAAACCAGCCCAGCTCGTCCCCGCCTCCCTAACCTGTCCTACCTCCCACCTATCCCCTCCTCCCACCTCAAGCCCCACCCCCATCTCCTACCTACTAACCTTATCCCGCCCCCTTGACCTGTCCGTCCTCCCTGGACTGACCTATCCCCTCCCTAACTCCCCACCTACACTCACCTTTACTGGCTCCATCCCCACCTCTTTGACCTGTCTGTCTCCTCTCCACCTATCTTCTCCTTTATCCATCTTCCATCTGCCTCCCTCCTCTCCCTATTTATTTCAGAACCCCCTTCCCCTCCCCCATTTCTGAAGAAGGGTCTAGGCCTGAAACGTCAGCCTTCCTGCTCATCTGATTCTGCTTGGCCTGCTGTGTTCATCCAGCTCTATACCTTGTTATCTCCCTTTATTGTAATATGTTGGTTTGCCTTTCTAAATCAATGGCCGACTGAAATCACAAGGAGTGGGGGGCTGCAATCCAGACTGTTTATTGGATTACCTCAGTACCTCATTTGGACAGTGGCTCAATATTTCTTGAGAGGTCATGATAAGGTGGCCATCTTTGTTTCCTGATAAAAGCGATATTAGCAGAGGTCAAACTAACTTTCAAAAGAATTCCACTAGAAAGAGAGAGGTTTTGTCTTAAAGGAAAGAAAATAAAAGATTCTCTCCTCTAACTTGTTCAAGATTGACTGAGAAATCCATCTCAAGGCTGATCAACTTCAAGAACACTCCTGACAAAGTATCAACTTCATTGTGATCCATCAGCCCTGCATTGAATAGAGACTGAGTTAATGTCCATTTTTATGATTGCCGTTTTGTCTTAATCTGTACTTTTTTGTTGCATGTGCATTGAAATTATTGGACTGACATGTTACAATAACTATGGTTAGTTATTGGACTGACATGTTACATTTTTGTTAATCTCCAATGGCAACTGTGTGAGAAATAGAATAACATACTTAATTTCTGAACACACAAAAATTTGCTGCTGGGTTATTAAAATAGAGTGGATCACTCCCAGAATAAGGAATCACAAATATCCACATTGGCAAATATATTTTTCAGGGCAAATTAAAGAAAGCACCTAAAATTTTTCCGATATCATTTCAATCAAAATGCGTCCAAAATTGCAGTACAAAATCAAAAATAGCCCTGTGCGTTCTTCCTTTTCAGACATTACTGCTGAGAATTACAGTATGGTTTAATAATCTATATACTCTGCGAGTGAATTAATCATCGCTACTTGATGCTAGTTCTGCTGCTGCTGTGGCTGTAAACAGGAATTGACACTGTTTTAAGGGGTGGTGAACCCCAAAGTGACACAATGTTGGCAGTTGCAAGTTAAGGTACTGTGATCAGGGTTGTTATCCAATTGGTCTACGCCCAGAAGAGCTCAGGTAATAAGCTTTAGGAGAGGTACTATCAGTGGTGGTCAATGCTGATATCGAAACTCCAAAGAAAAGGCACCTCAACTGTCGATTGACTTCAAAGACTAGTCAGTGGAGATCGAAATGGAGGGGTCTATGGAGCATGAGCAGTACCATTGCCACAAGGACCACAATTGACACCAGGTCTCATTGATGGGCAATGGAGTGCCCATCATGGAGTCTCCCAATTCTAGAAGCCACTGGAACGCCACTGTGATTTACCTGGAAATTTTCCTATATGGCAGAAGTGGGTCATTCATAAGCCACGTAAGTGGTTCAGTTGACAACTAGGAGGATAGGCACCACATCTCTCCCTCATTGGCAATGTGATAAGGCAACAGAAAGGTTTCAGACAACATTCCTGGTGTCTCCCTGAGCTGCTTTGCCAGCGTCCCAGACTGTCATCAATGGACTGAGACAATTCAGCACTATAGGTTTATCAACCTCAGTTGGAATATTTAGGAAATTAACCCAAAGTCCTGTCCATTTATAGCATTTTGACATCTTGCCATTGAGTGCACACTTTGATTCTTAATGCTTACTCTGTATTAAACTACATCTGCCACCTGTCTGCACATTCCTCTAACTTTTGTCCTCCTCTTCTTTTGTCAGATCCCATATCCTAACGTTCTCAGACAAGTTTCAATATGATGCATTCCCAAATCACAAATAAGCAATGAGAACAAAAGTGGAACCAGGACTGTCCCATCGGTCAACAGCACTTTCCACTGTCCTTCAAACTATTTATCCTGACTTGTTCCCCAGGTGTCATCCAACCTCTATGCATTTTTGCTTTATTTCTTTACTCCTACCTGTTGAAACATTTTCCTACAAAATAATTAAACACTGAAGTACAAAATTAAGGGAAAAGAAATTTGTCTCTTCCCCCACTGTGTGGAAAATGAGTGGCAGACCCCCATGGAAAAATTCATTGCCTAATTATTTCTTAAATGCAGAGAAAATTTGTCTGGAGCCCATTTCAAATGTTGACAATTCTGTACACAAACAACAACATGTGCATTTTGTTTACATATTACGCTCGGGGTCATTTGTCCTAATTCCACAATTAATACAATACTCTTCATATATTTCATACAATCATTTCTATTTTAGATATCACTTTGAGAGCAATTCTCTTTCTTATAACTCTTGCGTCTGAATCAAGGCATGAGACTTATGGCGCTTCTCTAAACTGCTTCCAGTTCTTGAACATCTCAAAGAATATTAGAAAACACTGCAGCAGGCAGAGATGCTATTCAGCCCATTGTCCTTTGATAGAACTTTGAAAGGACTATCCAATTAGTTTCTCTCCTATGTTGCTTCCCATATTCCTGCAAATATTTCCCCTTCAAACATTGATCCAATGTCTTTTGAAAGTTAAATCTGCTTCTATTACCCTATTAGGAAACATATTCCAGATCATAAAATCTCACTGCACAAAACAATTTTCCTCATGTATTCTCTGAATGTTTTGCTGTTCACTCCCTTGGGTTTAGAGAATAGAACAATTGGGCTCTAATTAGAGCATTTTACAGTTAATCATGAATTTCACTTACTTATTTTTGGCAACCTTAGCTCCATAGCTCAACTTTGTACTGGCATCGCAGAATACTACTCTGCTATTGTTGGATATTCCTGGTATCAAACCCGTGAAGACTCATGTAACTCCTACAACTTCATCCTTATTTCATACCAAACTATTCATAGAACTTGTGTGTGTTTTCTCCTACAAGCAGTACTTTGCTGCAATGGTCCACGATAAAGTTCATCTGTCTTGATCTGCTCCCATTTTAGTCTGTACTTTCTAACTCTTCCCATTGCTTCTTCTACTTTAGGGTCATCAGTAAAATTTGATTACTTGATTTTGAATTTGGTTCCACACCAATTAAGGAAATAAGAAATAGTGCAGTCATAAGACTGCATTCAGTAGTTTTCCAGGCCAAAACAACATCCCTTATACACACTGAGATAACAAGGTGTAGAGCTGGATGAACACAGCAGGCCAAGCAGCATCATAGGAACAGGAAGGCTGACGTTTCATGCCTAGACCTGACTCATTATTTTCCATACCTCACTCAGTTTCTCATCCATTGCCAAGAATTATGCCAAATTGTTACATTTTCAAGTTTCAATTGGATATGTATTTTCATCAAATATAATTGAAAGTATGGTACAATGTGTTAGCAGAAATTATTATTTTTGAAGTACAATGCATTTAATATTTTTCATCAGCTTACACTGTAAGTGTTTGTTCCTTACCTCATTGCCATTTAATCCAATCCACAGTTTCTCTCCAGATTTAGTAGCTTCCAATATTAGGAAGGAATGTTCAAAGCCATTTATGATACTGACAAGCTGGGCACCTTCTGCCTCACAAACTTTACAAGCATCTCGCCATTTCAGCTTGACGGTAATTATTTTGTATGAACTGTTGGCATACTTAATATAGTTTGATGGTACATTGGTTGTTGTGGACCCTAACATTAAAGCACGATCTGTGGAAGGAATCATAGTCTGCTTTGTTAATTCCATTCACATTTCGAAAGGTCACTTTTTGCTTCTTCACAATATCAAAGTAACATTCAGTTTGGTCACCTGGGCCAGGGAGTGTTTCAGTAAATTTATAATGAGTTGTTAGGCATTTAGGAACCGAGATGATGAGGTTAATGTTTTGAGTCTACACTGTCAGCAGTCAGTCTTGACCAATACCAATAGGTTCCTTGTCCATGGGCAGATTTTCAGTTATCCTGTTTTGTCAAATAAGACTCACAGGCCACCATGGCTTACAGTGACTTTTATCATTCTGTCTTCCATCCAACACCTCACTAATTATGTAATGGGACTCCAGGACAGCAATTACAGGAATGGTGTGACTGGAGAGACAGAAGCCTTCACCATTGCTGGGACTTGTGGCTTTCCCATCACTGGCACCATACTCAAACCCCAGCAGTTCAAATGCTGGAATCAAGGAAGGATCCCTCACACTGCGACATTTCAGACACTACATTCAGCACTTGGCCCAGAGGAACAAAAACGCTGTCTCCTCTTTGGGTGAACACAAACTTTGAATCTTGGTCGATGAGGTGGTGGAGAAGACAGCAGTCCTTTTCCCAGGAGATGTCCACAGGAGATCACGCTATCATATCAAGGTTGGCTGGATTCAAATTGCAGCCTGGGTCAGAGCTGTGTCCTGAGTGAAGTGGCCACCCAGTAGCAAAGAAAGAAGGTCAATGACCTCTGCACTCTGCAAGGGTAAGTTCCACCATCTTCTCTCTGCTATCTCATACTGACAGGGCCACTTACTCTAAAACTGCCACTCCACACAAGACCCATGGATTACAACTCTCACTATTGCATGTAACATATTTGTTTAATAGCTCTCACCTAAAACATCCCTCAATTTACTGGCCTTTCCTGTCTTCTGCACTTCCTATTAACTCACTGGGGACACCTCACCACCTCTCCTGCTCATGCATAATCATCAACTCCTCTTGTGTTTGCTTCCTTCAGAGTCCCTCCCCTGATCTCATTGCACTCCCTCGAACTGACATCTCTGACTGACCTGACCTTTCTTGCCTTGCCTTTGTAGTACAAACACAAAACCAGGGATCATGGCATGGTGCTCAGCAGGCATCAGCCATAATAGTGGGCATGTTACTGTGTGGCACCAGTCTCTGTCAAGCTCATATCTGGAGCATGTGCGCAGTTGCATATTCAGTAAACAGATGGGCATAAGGGAAGTAGTCTTCAGTCTGGGCAGGGGAGACAGCCTTTAGTCAAAGGGTCCAGTTGCAGTACATCAAGGTCAGTATCCAGTATCTGTGCATGGACTTGGAAATGGTTAGACTGCCACTTGCAGCATTTAGAGTCAGGGGCTCTGTATCACTTGAGCCTGGGGATAAAATCACGGTCAGTCCTGCAGGTTCAGTGCAACAAGTCCGGGGAGTTTTGGTAAATCAGATGGAAAGCTGCACAGATATCACTAAGGGGTACAAGTCAGTCATCAGGGCCTGTCCATTCGAGCTGGTCAAGCTACAGATTCAGGGGGTGTTATCAGGGACCAATGCTGTGGTAGGAAAGTTGGGCAAGTCACTTCTAAGGACTGGAAACAGCATGCTGCGATGTAGGTGGGGCTTACAGAGGAAGAAGTGTTTTACTGGACTTGAAATGTTATCTCTGTTTCTCTCTCTACAGATGTTGCTAAATCTATTGGGTTTCTCCAGTACCTTCAGGGTTTGTTTCAGATTTCCAGAATCGGAATATTTTGTTTTTATTCGAGTGTGGAAACTCAGAACTAACAGGTTCGATAGGATAGGATAGGATCAACAGAATATAGGGATTGGGAGATTTGGGATGGCCCCTTGATTACCAGACTGGGCCTTGTGTGGGATCTTAGAACCCTTCACCCACAAATATATCATGGCTGTTACCATTGCCCTTTCTGCCAGACCACATTGCTTCATTTCATTTCCCTGTGGCAAGGTCAGTGCTGTAACCAGGCCTGTAGGCGTTGGAAACACAGGAGGTTTGCCTCAGGTGGCGTGTGTAATAGACTGTACACACACCATAAGATAACACTATTAACTTTGTGAACAGAGAAGGAAAAGATGCCTTGATGCCAGGGTACCTGTATCCTTGAGAACTTTCATTTCAAAGGCCTTACAAGGATAGTTACTGGGAGACAAGCGCTATCCTCTGCAACCATGGCTGATGGCTCTATTATGTAATCCCATGCCCTACCCACCCTGCCCCTGCCCTGACTGAGTAGATACAATGCAGCCTATTCTTCAAACAAAGCCATTGTTGACTCCATGCAGAGTGTGCTGCACAATCATAACTTGTCTTGCTCTGAACAACTGGACCAAGCAAAGAGGGGATCTGTTGAACTGTTAAGTGCTAGGAGAGCAACAGCAGTGTTCTGAGGAGGAAGATGAAGACATTGAGCAGGAGGAACATCAGCTTCAACACTATAAAGTGGTGGAGTGTCAATCACAATCAGCCAGAATGGGCTCAAATGATAGCCGGTTCTCATAGGTGATAGCTGGGTGCAGTGATCACTCAGAGACAACAAGGTGCAGGGCTGGATGAATACAGCAGGCCAAGCAGCATCATAGGAGCAGAAAGGCTGACGTTTCGGGCCGAGATCCTTCATCAGAAAAGGGGGAGGGGAAGGGGGTTCTGAAATAAATAGGGAGAGAGTGGGAGGCGGATAGAAGATGGATAGAGGAGAGGATAGGTGGAGAGGAAACAAACAGGTCGAAGATGCTGGGATGGAGCCAGTAAAGGTGAATGTAGGTGGGGAGTTAGGGAGGGGATAGGTCAGTCCAGGGAAGACGGACAGGTCAAGGGGGCGGGATGAGGTTAGTCGGTAGGAGATGGGGGTGGGACTTGAGGTGGGAGGAGGGGATAGGTGGGAGGAAGGACAGGTTAGGGAGGCGGGGATGAGCTGGGCTGGTTTTGGGATGCAGTAGGGGGAGGGGAGATTTTGAAGCTTGTGAAATCCACATTGATACCATTGGGCTGCAGGGTTCACTCATTGACTTTAAAGTTGTGGGTGGTCAAAAGGCAAATAACTCCTATATATTCTCAAAAACAAACGCAGCTTTTAAAATTTTGTTTCCTTTTGCTGTTACCAAATAATATTTAGTGCTTTCAACCGTTTGAAGGTTTTCCAGTATGTGGTGGTTCTAAATTGAATAATGAGAGATGTTGGGCTACGGTGTGCACTGGGGCAAGGCTAGCATCCTTTAAACATGTTTCTAAGATGAATGACAATAAGGATAGGATAACTCAGTGCCTCAGATCGTAAATATCAATAAACCTATGAATATGCCCTTGTATTTGCAATCAAGTGCTGGTTGTGCCAACTATATGCCCTGAGGATCATTTGGGTTTGATTTCCCCACACTATGTGCACAGTGAAAGACATCTCCTGGGTGTCAGTGTTTGACCTGGTGCACATTAGCCTTCAGAAATAGTGTAGCTCCATGAATCCAATGAGTTCCCAGTAATAACTTCTGTCTCTGGTGAGAGGGAAGAGAGGACAGGTGGGATGTATAGAGGTAGGGCTTATAGATAATGAGGAGGTTTGCAGAGAATAGTCTGAGAAATCTCACCAGGTCCATGGACAGAAATCCTCTATGAATCTTACCATAATGGACACTTAGCCAATGTATCATAAAATTGAACCGATTGAAGTTATTAATAACATGTCCCGAAATGTCAAACAAACAGCAACCTAATGCTCACCTTTGTACTTTTGGCAGATAAAGCCTCTTTTAAAGTCACAATAGTCATCTTTCCAAGATCCAACATCTTTCTTTGTATTCACACTCACAGTGACACAGTCAGTTGCCCATATAATAAAAACAAAGCAAATGTCAGGAATGAGTAGGAGACCAGCACTTCTTCAAAAGTTACAAATGAAAGTTCATAATTAAGCCATGAATGTCAGACAAAACTTAACTGATAATGTGCCCTGGGAGCATCACAGATGGAATAAGGGACAAAATGTCAAAGAACTCCTTATTAGTCATACAGACTTTTTTTAAACACAAAATAAAGTATTAGAGAAACCTAAAGAAGTGAATGCTAGGCAGGTGTGAAGGGCCAAATGATTTGTTCTTGCTCTTATTTTCTATGTTCTTTATGTTCATAATGACATTCATAAACAGTTTTGGGAGACAATAGGTGCTGGTGCTGAAGGACGTGACAAGGTAAAAAAGTGGAGTTGTGAGATATTAAAGATTAATGTTTTAATTTTTCACTCCTGGTGGTGAAGTTCACTTGCAAGAAGTAGTTATATGAAATGTGTTACCTACAAATGGGTGATTAGTTGCAAAGGCAAAAGTCACATTCAATGTTGTAATCCCCGTAATAGCATTACACTTCTCCCAGTATACAAGGGACCCATGCAGTGTCCAAGGAAACAGGTATTTAAGGCTTTGCCCCTGAATTCAATTGCAATACAAAGAATTGCAGTTGCAATAAGGTAAAGTTGCCATAGTTTTATCAGACCTTAGGGCTGCTCTCTCTTTGCGGAGAGATGACTGGTTTAACCAGAGGGCTATCAAGCCTCAGGAAAGGAGAGGGGTTCAGGAAGGAGAGTCCTTTATAGTCACCTCAGCAGTGAGGGAATTGAACCTGCAGTGTTGGCATCACCCTGCATTACAACCAACCATGTAGCCAACTGAGCTAAACAACCCCTTAGTTGAATACAGAATGGACATTGTCAAAAAACAAATTAATTCTTTTGTGTTTGATTTCTTTCAATGCTGACAATCCCATCCCAATGAAGCCTCATTGCAATACCACCATTCTCATTCACTTGAGGCCAGTGGCCCAGTTCCTGGCCTTAATGGTGTGAACATCCTTCTGATCCATGCAAATGATCCTGGGGCAAGAAACGAGTGGTCCAATAATCCCTAATTCCACATCAAATTCACTTCTCAAGGGTTTTGCAAGGAAATTCACCACATCCATTGTTAAATATTTAACTGACCAATAATATTAATGTAAGTTGTGTTCTGGTTTTAAACACTTCTCTTCAAGTTACAAATGTTGCCTGCTGTTTCTGTTTCTTTGGCCCTAATGGCCTCCCCTCAAGAGGCTGGAGAATACATGCAGAGAATGTTGGGTGTGTTTAGTATTTACCGGATCATCATAGGTATGCCTTTGTCCAGTCGGAAAACCCTTGGCCCAGTTAGTATACTTTACTCCTCTTCCATCAGTCCACAGATATCTACTCTCTTTATTAATATCATTTAATCCAATCCAAACATTGACAGGAAACCCTTCCAACTTCATGGTAATAAATGCTGCAGAGGAAAACAGATTTAAATTTGAGATTATGGACACTCAGCACTGAAAAAATTAATATTTGCAATTATTGTAATGCCTTTAACATAGAAAAATGCCTTGTACTGATTTTCAGACCAATCCCAAATTTGTTGTTAGCAAAAGAACCATCTCCAGCATGCATATAATAAATCTACTAATGTTCTAAAAGATCTGACTTGTGGAACTTGGAATAAAAATTTGAGCTATGAATATGTGCAGAAGGAAGCCACTCAGCCAATCACTACTGTTCTGGTTCCTTCAAAGAACAATTTGGTTTGTCTCATTTTGCTGCGCTTCCCCATCTTCTTTCACATTTCCCCTTTTTCAAATATTTTATCTGCATCACTTTTAAAAACTATAATTTCTGCTTCACCATTATTCTGGAAGGCATTCCCCTGATAAAACAATACCGTGTATAAAAACGTTCCTCCTAGACTTTCCTCTCCATTATTTTGATGCTAATCAGAAGTTTACACCCTCAACCCATTATCAACCCATTGACGACTGGAAGGTTTTCTGTTTAGAAGTTGAAGTACTTGTGTATCTTACTGGAACAATTATTTTATTGTAATCTTCTACATTTCTCATTAATTTACATTATCTGCCATTTATTTTGTGATTTTCAAGCAAATTGCTATTCAGGTTTGCATGTTTCCTTTAAGACTGTATTTCTATCGTAATTTTGTTAATTAATTTCTGTACAAAGCCTTCTAAAAATTTAAGGAAAGACTTATACTTCCTAGAGGTAAAAACCTCAATCACCTAGTTATTAAATTTATATATTAAATAATAAATTGTGAGATAATTTTCATGTTGGCTGGTGTTCATTGCTGAAATACTCTTGCTTCTAGAGGATGTGAAAATGCTTCCATAATGAAAGTAGATTAATTAAATGCAAGCCTGTGAGCAAGGAGAAACTCCAAACTTATAACATTATTATCCACAATTATCACTGGGTGCAATGGATAATCTTTAAAGAGGAGATGCATCAAGTACAGCATGTTTTAACAAGGTTGAAAGCTGAGGGAACCAAAGCTTTGGACAACCAGGATAGAGACAGACTAATAAAACTAAAACATGATGCATTTCAGGTTGATTTATTCAAACAGAACCTAGCCAAATCCAATAACTTGAGAGAGGAAGCGGACAGGAAGATTTGGCTGAAAACAGAGAATATGAGAATAGAATGTCTGTAAATATAAAGCGAACCCTAAATTTTTCTACTAGCATGAAAATAGTAAACAAGGAGAGAATTGAAAAGCAGTAAGCACTGGATTGGTTGGCTATGTTTTGAGTGGATAGGTCACCTGGTCTGGCAAATGAGACATCTTAACAACTACAGGCTATTTGGCCCATCAAGTACATACCAGTTACCCACTGAACAATTCCATCATTCCCATTCTCCCAAATCGAACCCATTGTCCCTTCAAAGTTATCACCTTCAGGATTTCTAAACAATTTACTTTGAAATCATTGATGGTTTTTGCTTCCACCTCCATCAAGGGTAGGAAAATCTAAGGAATTAGATTTACTTATTATACCAAATTTACAACAGTGGCAAGAAATGAGGATGATACTCATCAATTGCAACAGAACACAGGGCAGAATGGGTAGATAAGTGGCAGATGGGGCTGAATATAAAAAAGAGAGAAATGATGCATTTTGGCAGGAGGGATAGGGAGAGACAATATTTGCTTAATAGCAGAATTCTAAAGAGGGCACAGAGACAGACGGACCTGGGGGTACATGCACATAAATTTTTGCTGTTGTCAGGACATATTGAGAAAACATTTAATGAAGCACATAGAATTTTGTGCATCACAAAAAGAGGCACTGAATGCAAAAGCAGGGATGTTAGACTGAACATTCATAAAACTTCTGTCGGCTACATTGGGGTACAGCATTCAGTTCTGGTGACCAAACCTTAGGAAACCTAAAGGAGATTTATCAGAATTATTACGGAATGGGGTTTTTAATTACAAGGTTAAGTTGAAAAAGCTGGAATAATTTTGTTGTAGCAAAGGGGATTGAGGAAAAATTTGCAAAATGTTTACAAGGTTATGACAGATTTAGGTAAAGTAGATAAAGGAAATCTTTTCCCATTATCTGATGGGATCTGAAAGACAAGGGGACACACATATAAGATTTTACGAAGAGATGCAGGGGAAGTGCAAGGAAGAACATTTGTGTAAGGAAAGTGGTAATGACCAGGAACTTGCTGCCCATGAATGTGGTGGAAGGAGAAATGATTCATGGTTTCCAAATTAAACTCATTGGGCATTTCCAGGAGATCAGTTTGAAGGGCTACGAAGTTGGAGAAAAGGAATTAAATCGATGGGCTAACTGGCCTATTTGTCAATAGTAAATGACTGCATGAGCTGGATTTCAAGCTGGGGTCACATAAAATTCAGAAGGGGGCCTGTCCACCATCACTGTTTTCTGACAGTGCCCAAGCTGTCAGAAATGTTACAATGCGCAGAGAGACGACAGGTGGCTCATCCATCCATAGGCCCATTGAAGCCCTGGAGTATCAAGTTGATGACCACTTAAGGGCTTTATCCCATAACTGTTGTCTGTAATTGACTCATATTTGTGTGTAGATGCTGGTGGGACAAACCTATAACGTGCAGGAAGCCTGGCACCAAGAGCAGAATGATCTGGTGTTAGGTAAGGAGGAGGGGGTACCCCATGTTTGGTGCACTCTAACGGAAACCCCTTGAGCCCTTTCACCAGTGTCTTGAACCTGCCCACCCTCACTAAGACCCCCCCAAACTTGGATTGACCTGAGCTTTTTGCTTGGGTGGAAATGCTTGTGGGCCCATCATTTGCTACAGTTAGTGTTACTGGCACTACAGAACAGGTGGTCACTCAGACTAGCTGGGAGCATTCAAAGATGGACCTTCCTCCTGAGAAAGGGGCAGAAGTGTTGCCTTAAAGCAATTAAATCTACTCTTACCATTGAATCACGTTGGGGTGACCATCAGAATCCTGGGTTTGTTCCTCGTTACCCCTGACATTTTAGCTGCAGCAGGTTGTGAACTAAGGGGCTTGTAAAGTCCAGCCCTCTGTATTCTATTGCATACCTTGTTCTTTAGCATTTTGAATTGTTGCTAGGTTTCCCCCTCTTTTAATGCAAATATCTCTCGCATCTTTCCAAGTCAATTGCTGTGCTTCTTCTTCACCGTAAACCTTGAAGCACTAGAAAAGAACATTAAAATGTGCAAATTATTAGACTGTATAGCTCAAAGTAATATTTTTAGAAATGTTCGGCAAAATCGCCTGAGAATTCAGGTTCATTGCTGAATAACACTGAAGATTTGCACTGTAACGGTATCTCATTATTGTGATTTCTAGCAGGCCCTGTTTCTTCAAACAATATCCAGGAACTTCAGTGTGGAGGCATATTCATTATGTGAGATGTAGAGAGCTGTAAAGCAATCGAGGAAAATTAAGTAGCAGTGGTAAAGTGATGCTAAACTTGCGTTTTTTAAAGCCTGTGGAGTTGAGGGGAATGTAAGAGGGAGAAAGTAATTAAATTCTATTTTTTCCGGAGAAGAATGTATGTGAGTCACAATAGTTTCTGATTTCAACATACAACAATACAATAATGCAGAAGACTATGTAGGATATTAGAGGTTAGGGGAAACAGGAAAGTTCAGAGAATCACTGACTGTTGTGGCATTTATGAAATAGGAAGCCAAGGATGTTTCAATGGGGGAAATAAAAACAGTGATTAAAGATGGCACAGAGATTGCTCATCAGGACAAAGCATTCATTTGCATCTTATCACGTGTTATCTCTCCAAATATTCAGTTTATTGAATGGATTCATGCTTTGTAGAGAATCGAGAGTTGTTGAAGGACAAAGAATATGGGTGGCATATCATTCTTTTCTATAAGTGAAATCTTATTTTAAAAATTGGAAGCTGCTCATGTATTTCCTATAAATGATTGCCTTTTGATGATCAGAAAATTGACCCTGAGAATGGAAGATCCCAAAACTTTCCCACTTCTTTTCATGGTTTATTTACACTTTTGTTTTGTTTTACCCAATTATTCTGCAGTTTGTCAGGGCAATTTAAATTTTATTTTGCAATGAGAAAATTCATTATACACATGGATCAAAGTCACTAATGAGATTAATGAGATTATGCCTTATTATGTGATAGCAACTTGAGAAGATATTTTCATAATACCATAGCCTCACAACACTTGCAATATACCTAACCTAGCCTAGGGATGGGAAACTAATTATTCATTTCAAAAATTTCAGTTTTGATATTCCTTTAACCAAGTCAGATATTATGCAAGCATGCATGTATTAATTTTTGCTTTTACTATTAAATGTGAGGTGAACAATGGAAGGCAGCCACAAAACTACATTCCTGCAGAAGTATAAATTTAACTATTTAACTTGCTTTTAGAGTTTATTTTTTGTCGGGGTGGATTACTAGTAAACTTGTAAAAGTAAAACCATTGAGTAGCTTTACTATTATTGCTTTTGAGCTGGTTTCAGCACTGCATTGTGTTAGGCAAAATACCTGACTGGCTCAGAAAGCTTGGGATTTCCCTGAACAACCAGTTGTTTAAGGTTTTAAAGGCAGAATTTAAAGCGCAATAGCACTGTGGTTGTCCTCTGGTGTTCCTCAATGGGACAAAGCTACAAAGCTACAAAGCAAATATTTGCCCTAACTATTGGCAGAGTGATCAAGAACATTGTTGCTTCCTTATCCTAAAGAATTTCTCAAGTTCAGTGTCACATAAGCAGACCTTGTCCCTCCTACAAATGAAGAAGAACTTTTATTATCATAATGTCTAGATAAATGATAGCATAGCCTAGAGTTTGTAAAAAGAAAGTATAACTAGTGACTGGAATTAAATTCTCCTTCTCACAGCACAAAACATAACCTAAAGAATGGTATCA